GACTGACAATTTGTCAATAAACTTAGCAGTTCCAGGCCTTGAAATTAAATATGATCATATACATTTGGCTTCCATAGATTTTGCATTTTTATCTTCTAATGTACTGTGTTCTTGTCCTAACATTAAATTATTTTGATAGTTTTTATGTGGAATTCTGTGTACATTTCAAAATGATGTTTGAAATTGGACAGATTTATCCCAGAATTTAGGAGCATCTCTAAAATGTGTGTCACGTGATGGCATAGTTTCACTTTCATCGCCAGCTCATTGGTTATCCAGATTTCAAAGACTGCCACTGCGTGTGTGTGTATGCGTGTGTGCTGTTTTGTTATTTTGTTTGAATCTGATACCTTTGCAACACTAATAGGCAGTTCATAAGATTCATTAATTTGATTATCACACTTGTCCAAAGACAAATGCCTTTTTAAATCACAATCCCTAGGAATCCTCCCATTTCCATCGTAACTTTTTTTTTTTTTTTGAAATGGAGTCTCTGTCGCCCAGGCTGGAGGGCAGTGGCGCGATCTCAGCTCACTGTAACCTCCGCTTCCCCAGTTTAAGTGATTCTCCTGCCTCAGCCTCCTGAGTAGCTGGGATTACAGGCGTGCGCCACCACGCCTGGCTAAGTTTTGTATTTTTTTAGTAAAGACGGGGTTTCACCGTGTTGGTCAGGCTGGTCTTGAACTCCTGACCTTGTGATCTGCCCGCCTTGGCCGCCCAAAGTGTTGGGATTACAGGCTTCTGAGTAGAAGCCTAGCACCAGTGCACAATTATGCATTCTTAAAAGGGATGTTTTGATTTATTACTGAAAATAATGCTCAATACATACAGGAATTTAGTATTTGATAATCCATTGCAGCAAACTGCTTTTATTTTTCCATAGCACGTATAACTTTCTGACATATTTTGCTTATTTTAGTTATGTTTATGGTCTGTCACTTTTTTCTTTCCACACAAAAACATAGGTTCCACAAGATGGGGATTTTTGTCTGTTTATATTTACTGCTATATTCCAGCATGTAAAACAGTGCCTGGCACATAGTAGGTACTCAATAAATACTTGTAGAATGAAGGAATGAGTGAACTGGCCATGTAGACACAGGGTAGCTTCTTAATGAACCCTGTGACAGCATCAAGGGCCCAAATTCTTCTTGTCTCTCAGGTCTGCCATCCTCAGTAAGAGCTTTGTCTGCCCCCCCACCATCCCCAGGGCGCTTTGTGGTTGCAACATGGCTACCAGAGACAGTTGGCATTATCTTGTCCACATCTATGAGGAAAGCAAAGATGCTTGATTGGGTCAGCTTGGGTCTTGTGCCCCAGTCAGGGCACACAATGATAACATACATGCAGAGAATGGCTTAACTTATCAGGACCCACACTCTCTGACAGCCAAGTTGGTGCTTAAGAATCAGCTTCCCCCAAAAAGGTGGTGGGCTATGAAGAGGTTGATGGATATCTGAAGGAAGGAAGGAGAGTTGGGGAAGAGGTGGTAGACAGGAACTGAACACCTTCCACTACAACACTATTGATTTTTAAAATCTCAAATAGCTCAGAGGGTAAAGAGGAAAAATAAATCTTCCTCTCTTCCCTCTGTCCCAGTCGGCTGCATTCTACATTCTGGTGCTTAATTTCAAGGAGCCCGAGAGTTCTGAGGTTGATCCTGGCCTTCCAGAGCATTGGGATGTTATTAAGGTAGGTAGACAAAATATATTCTACTTAACATGTTGTGGTTTAATACTTTGTAAACACTTAGGCATAGGAAACGTGAGCCTCCACTTGTACTCTTGCCCTGGGTCCTGCAAATGTTAAGGGCAGGCCGGGTGCAAAGACTGGGTGGCACTCTCGCACTATCTGTGAGTGGACACATTTTGAAAGGAATTGTAATGAGGAGGTGCAAATACAGCTTGAGCAACAGAAGCATTTCCTCAGCCCGCTCTGAGGCATCAGGAGGAACTTACGATGCACAATGCCAGCAACTAATAAAGATCATTTCTGGCACTTCCTCTCCTCTAGCCTTTCTCTTTACATGTTCTCAGTTGTGGTGGATATAAAATGGGCTGGCCTTACATAAGGCCAGAATTGCAAGGAGGTGCAATCACTACTGACTTAAGAAAATAATCTCAAAAGAGAAGGGGAGGCCAGGCCTGGTGGTTCACACCTGTAATCCCAGCACTTTTTGAGGCCAAGATTGGTGAATCACCTAACGTCAGGAGTTTGAGACCAGCCTGGCCAACATGGTGAAACCCCATCTCTACTAAAAATACAAAAATTAGCCAGGTGTGGTGGCGTGTGTCTGTAAATCCCAGCTACGTGGGAAGCTGAGACAAGAGAATCACTTGATCCCAGGAGGCAGAGATTGTAGTCAGCTGAGATCATGCCACTGTATTCTAGCCTGGGCAACAGAGCAGATTCTGCCGAAAAAAAAGAAAAGAGAGAGAGAGAGAGAGAGAGAGAGAAAAGAGAAAGAGAAAGAAAGAGAAAATAATCTGACAAAATATAATTTAATTTATCAAGAGGCATTAAAATGTAAAGAAACATATTCTCTGATATGAACATTGTATCTTATTGATTAGATAGTGTGGGTGTTCAGTTCTATGAGAGTGAAATCTGTTGAAGGAAGAATCTGGAAAGCTTTCTGTTTTGTGCTTCTGAGAGAGAGCTTCTAGGGTGGTTTCTGACTGGCACTGTACTCCCTCAAAAATGACCCTAGTTTAGATGGCCACCTGCAAGCTCAAATGGCTTCTGAACTTTGTCTTCTGCCCTGGCTGCTCTCCCAAGAGGACCTCTGTGCATCCACCTGCCTGGTTAACTCCTCTTCCTGGCTCCCTAGACTCATCATGGAGTGGTCTGTTTTAGCATCCTGTGGCTGCCGTAACAAATCAACACAAACTTGGTGACTTAAAACAACAGTAATTTTTTCTCCTAAGGCTGAAATCAAGATGTTAGCAGGGCCGCACTGCCTCCAAAGGCTCTCAGGGTGAATGTCCTCTTGCTTCTCCCAGCCTCTGGTATCGCAGTTGTCCTTGGCATGTGGCAGCACAACTCCCATCTCTGCCTCCATCTTCACACAGCCGGCTCCCCTCTGTGTGTCTGTGTCTCCAATCTCCCTCTCTGCCTTTCTCTCATAAGAACACCTGTCACTGGATTTAGGGCCCACCCTAAATCCAAGATGACCTCATCTCAAGATCCTTAACCTAATTAGATCTGCAAAGACCCTTTTTCCACATAACTTCACATTCACAAGTTCTGAAGGTTAGGTCTCGGACTTGCCTTCTTCTATCAAACTGGACAAACCGCTGTTCAGCCCACTGCATAGTCCATTCCCTTCCACCCAGGTGGGCTCATCCTGCTGTCTCTTGTCTGCGTGGGGGTACCCACATTCCCGAAGTGGACATGGGAAGTCCCTCTACCTCATATCCAGTCAGTCACCAAAGGCTGTCAATGAACTCCTAATTACTCTCAAGCGCACCCTCTTTGATTTCCACAGCAACCCTCCGTGGCCTTCTTTCTCCTCCTCAAGCTCCCACCAGAGAGCCTTTGCATGGACTCTTCCCCCTCTCTGGAAGGTTCCATCCCTCAAGCCTCACGAGTGGGCTCACTCTCTTCAGAGTTCTCAGCTCAGCTACCACCGCCTACAAGAAAGCGTCCCTCCCTACCAGCCTCCAGAAGCCCCAGTGACTCCACCGTGTCACTCTGTTTATTCTTCCCCTAGGCCTTCATACCATCCGGTATCTTCCTGTTTGTTTATTTGTAGATTTGTTCTCATCTTATTCCGACACACACACACACACACACACACACACACACGACAGGCTTTGTGAGGGCAGAGAGCCTCACCTGGTTTACCACCTCTGTACTACTAGTGTCTAAAGCAGACTAGCACAGAGTAAGCATTTAATACAAATCTACTGAAGAAACGATTGATGCTTTCATGCCTGCCTTTATTTTCTTTGCCTGTTCAGACACAGCTACCTTTTACCTGTCTCCAGTCACATCTGATCACACTGGGCTTAAAAATCATGACCAGTTTCCACAAGCTCATCCTGGCTCCTTGCCTGGGCATCCCAGGCCCTCGGTGACCCATCCCTGTGGTGCTACCCACCCCACCCTAGACGCTTCCTCACGCTTTCCCTCTGTTCACACCTAAGGACTCTGCCATGGCCCTCGCGCTAAGTCTTTGCACCTGGTGTCGTCTCTTCTGATGGCTTGCTCTTTTTTCAGCTTGGGGTCTGTTTCTTCATTCACAACCCAGTTCGTGGCTACACACGTGGTTCACTCCTATAATCCCAGCAGTTTGGGAGGCCAAGGAGGTTGGATCACCTGAGGTCAGGAGTTTGAGACCAGCCTGGCCAACATGGTGAAACCCCGTCTCTACTAAAAATACAAAAAAAAAACTTTCCAGGCATGGTGGTTCACACCTGTAATCCCAGCACTTTGAGAGGCTGAAGTGGGTGGATTTCTTGAGGCCAGGAGTTCAAGACCAGCCTGGCCAACATGGTGAAACCCCATCTCTACTAAAAATACAAAAAATTAGCCAAGCATGGTGGCACACATCTGTAATCTCAGCTACTCGGGAGGCTGAGGCACGAGAATCGCTTGAATCTGGGAGGCAGAGATTGCAGTGAGCCATAATCATACCATTGCACTCCAGCCTTGGTGACAGAGCAAGAAGACTCTGTCTCAACAAAAAAAAAAAAAAAAAAAAAAACAGAATACAAAATATTAACTGGGTGTGGTGGCACACCTGTAGTCCCAGCTACTCAGGAGGCTGATGCAGGAGAATCGCTTGAACACAGGAGGCGGAGGTTGTAGTGAGCTGAGCTCACGTCACTGCTCTCCAGCCTAGTCGATAGAGCGAGTCTCTGTCCTAAAAAAAATAATAAAAACCAAAAAGCCCAGTCACTATGTCACCCACTCCAGGAAGCCTTATTTGACTTCTCTCTGCCGCCCTAGTACCACATGCTTTTACCATTACCCATTCACATGGTCACATCACTTGCCTTCTTCACTGCTTTCTCTACTCGGCTATCACTCCGTGAGGATCATCTCTGCAGCACCGGTGTCTAGCACATCGTGAACACTCTGGAACCAGCACCAGTTCTACTTCCTCAGTCGGGCAGTTCTCCTGTTGGCCAGGTCCCAGACGCCCATAGCACTGGGCAGGTTCAGCTCTGGTGTAGCACACCCCGCACTCCTGGTGACGTCCCCAGGCTGCTGCTTGCCCCTGGAATGCCTCCTGGCTTTGCCCCCGGGACGTGTTTTCTAGAATTGCTTGTCAGCTTCTGACTCATGGAGGCTGCCTTAATTCCCTGCATTTACGTGGGCTCAGGTTCCACAGTTTCCAAATCCTTGCTAGTTCCCCTGGCCCTGGTGCCAGTGGCTAGTCTTCAGTTACCGGAGCCATCGCCGTGAGGTGTCCCAAAGCCAGTAAGGTGAGTTTCAAAGACTAGTGGTGAAGCAAAACAGGTTCTGAGAAGTGTTTATTCAGTTTAGTAGTGACGACTTCACTGGTGATCTCGGCGGGGGAGGGTGGGGTTCAGTGGCAGGCCAGATTGCAAGTGGCTAGGATGAGATCGGATGCTAAGACATGGAGGCAGAGGGGTAGGGGCTCTTTAGCCGTGTGAGAGTAGAAGGAGAGAGAGAGCTGGAGTGAAGTTCGAGGGGTAGCGAGGTGGAGAGCGTTTTGTCCCTGGTTTTAGGCCAGAGTCTTGAGCACCCTAGCAGATGCTGTCCTTACTGTCCCAGATCCCCGTATGGTTTCTGGCATGTCAGTGACGGCCAGCTGCCAGCACCTGCAGTGTTGTTGAAGGTGGGGTTTCTCAATCTTGGCTTTATTGACATTTGGGGCAGGATAATTCTTGGTTACAACTGGAATGGAGCAGTAAAATAAGGGGGGAAAAAAGATAATTCTTGGGCCGAAGGTGGGGGTGGAGTCTGTCTTATGCATTGTAAGATGTTTAGCAGCATCCCTGTTTTCTACCCCCTAGATGCTAGTAGCAGCCTCCACACACACTGAGTTACAATAACAAAAATGTCTCTAGACATTGTCAAGTGTCCCCTGGACAGCAAAATCACCCCAAGTCAAGAACCACTGGTTTAAGGGTAAGGTAAGGAAGCCACTTTGGCAAGCAGCTGGAGGACTGGGAGTGGCTGGGAATTAACACTCCTCTGCCCCCCCGCCGTCCCGTCCCTCACCCCCCATCCCCTGAAGCCCTTCTCCGATGCCTGGTGGGTGTGGAGGAGGATGTAATGATTAATTATATATGTCACCTTGATTGGACTAAGTGGTGCCCAGATAGCTGGTGAAACATTTCTGGGTGCATCTGTGAGTGGATTGTAGAAGAGATTAACATTTGAGTCTGCAGACTGGGTGAAGAAGCTCCACCCTCACCAGTGTGGGCAGGCACCATCCAATCCATTGAGGCCCCCAATAGAACAAATAGGTAGAGGAAGGGCAAATTAGCTCACTCTTCTGAAGCTGGGACCTCCTTCTTCTCCTGCCCTAAGATGTTGGCACTCTTGATTTTCAGGCCTTTGGACTCGGACTGAATTATGCCTCTAGCTCCCCTGGCTCTCCAGCTTGCAAATGGCAGATGATGGGATTTCTCAGCCCCCATAATCACATAAGCCAATTCCTCTAACAATTCCCTGTCTCTCTCTCTCATATCTCCTTTTGGTTTGTTTCTCTGGGGAACATGGACTAACACAGAGGCTCCTCCCCCTTCATGGGAACACTTCTGGGAATGTGCTTGGTGATGTTTTCCAGTTTGCTCTGCAGGATTCAACTCCAGTAGCTCACCACAGTGCGTGGCATCTAACTGCACCTGTTCTCGGTGACTTTTCCTTCCCTGTATCACTCCCTCCCTACTCTCCCCCTGCACACCATTCTGTCAGTTACACTTATCTCCCAATAAAGGCCTTGGCTCAGAGTCTGCTCCTAGAGGAATCCAAACGAAGACAAGTAGGAATGAAAGCAGAGGAGATGTGTGAGGAAAGAGAAATAAATGAATAAGGAGATAAATGGAGCAAGGAAATAGGCAGCATTGAGAGTACACGGGGGGCCAGGCATAGTGGCTCACAGCTATAACCCCAGCACTTTGGGAGGCTGAGGCAGGAGGATCGCTTGAGCCCAGGAATTCGAGACCAGCCTGGGCAACATGGTAAGAGTCCCATCTCTACAAATTTTTTTTTTTTTTTAAATTAGCCAGGCATGGTGGTGCACACCTATGGTCCCAGATACACAGGAGGCTAAGCTGGGTGGATCATTTGAGCCCAGGAGATCAAGGCTGCAGTGAGCCATGATCATGCCACTGTACTCCAGCCTGGGCAACAGAGTGAGACTCTGTCTCAAAACAAGCAAACAGACAAAAACAAAACAAAAGAGAGTACAAGGGGAGGATGAATCTCTGAGTCCACATAGATAGGAAGAAGAAATACAAGGGAGCTGGGAGAGTCTGTTTTGAGGAGGAAGCTGGATCAAGTCATCATGTGGCTTCAACTTCTTTAGTAAAATAGGTCAGGCCAGGTGTAGTGGCACAGACCTGCAATCCCAGCCATTTTGGGGGATAGCTTGGGCCCAGGAGTTCGGGATGAACTTGGGCAACATAGTGAGACCCCGTCTTTACAAAAAATTAAAAAATTAGCCAGGCGTGATGGTATGCACCTATGGTTCCAGCTACTCAGAAGGCTGAGGCAGGAGGATTGCTTGAGCCTAGAAGGTCCAGGGTGCAGTGAGCTGTGATGGTCATCTCAGCTCACTGCAACCTCCACCTCCCAGGCTCAAGCAATTCTTCTGCCTCAGTCTCCCAAGTAGCTGGGATCACAGGTGCACACCACCACGCCTGGCTAATTTTTGTATTTTCACTAGAGATGGGGTTTCACCATGTTGCCCAGGCTGGTCTCAAATTCCTGGGCTCAAGCAATCTACCCACCTTGGCCTCCCAAAGTGCTAGGGTTACAGACATGAGCCACTGCGCCTGACCTGGAGAAGTTCTTAATCTTGAGAATACCATGATTATGTTTGCATTTTAGAAAGAAAATTCAGGGAGTAATGTGGAGGAGGGCTTGGGAGTGGAGACTAGGAGTCCAGGCAGAGGTCATGGAGAGAGAAGCGGGGGGACACATGCAAGACACTCTTAGCACCTGGACATGTGGTCATGTAGGAGAGGAGGGGTCAAGGGGACCCAGTTGGGTCTACTGCAGTTGATGATGGTGCTAGTATCCCAGGCATAGAGTGGAAGACATCCTCCCACCTTACTGTGATCGAGTTGTTTATTTAATTGTCTCCCACCCCATTAGGGCAGGGACCATGTCGTTTGCTGTTGGTTGTCCCCTCTGGGACTGGTACAGCAGTTACTAGTACGTAATAGGTGTTGAAAGAACAATTTTGAATAAATGAATGAGGTGGCTGGGAGCCCTGGTGGAGGTGTCCCCTGGGAATGCAGGTCAGAGAGAGGTCAGGGCTATGAGTCCTGGGGGAGTGGGAGGATTCACTGAAACACGTGCTGAAAGTTGGGGGATGACAAGGAAAGCAGTCAGGATGGTATCTTGGCAGGGCTGTCAGGGGCTGCCCTTCAGGCAAGGGCCTCGCATCTGCCTGTGGGTCATGACACCCATGCACTGAGAATTACGAGAGCTGGGAACTCTCTCTCATCTTGTCAGCAGCACTCTGGCTGTCTTCATTCATTCAGAGATTCTGTTCCATCTCTGCCTGGTGCCTATTCCACCCACGTCGCTCTATCTACTATTTCCCCATTTCTCCAACTCTTCTCCAGGCTATTTTTTCTCTCCCTGTACTCTTCTATCTCCTCATGGATTCTTCGTCCTCCAGTTTGGAAGGCAGAGGGTCTGAGCTGGCCTTCAAGGCGGCTCTCAGCCTCTGTCTCTGTCTGTGATTCCTCGTCTGTGGAACAGGCCTCAGAAGACCCCCATCCCCCTGCTCACACTGCCTTCACACAGGCCTCCATTGCTACAGAAATGAAGCGAGTGTTTGGAGGCTGTAAAGGCTTTTCACTGTCTTAATCCACAACTCCGTGGAGATTCAGATGATAATGCTTCTACATGTCATCAACTCCTCAGAATTATTTAGGTGAGGGGTGTCTTTTGCCATCTGTTTTGCTGATGGACTTTGCCTCTGAGAGACACCTTGAGCTCAGGGAGCAGGCATCAGCCCCTCTCCCTTTCCAGTATCCGACCCTGTACCTGGGCTTGACAAACATTCGTTGAATAAATGAATGAAGGCCATGTTCTACCTCATTAATATGCATTAAGCGATAAAGTGTAAGAAGTGAAGACAGGCTGGGTGCAGCGGCTCACGCCTGTAATCCCAGCACTTTGGGAGGCTGAGGTGGTTGGATCACTTGAGCCCAGGAGTTCGAGACCAGACTGGCCAATATGGCAAAATCCCATCTCTAATAAAAACACAAAAATTAGCCAGGCGTGGTGGCAGGCACCTTAGTTTCAGCAATTCAGAAGGCTGAAGCGGGAGAATCGCTCAAACTAGGGAGGCAGATGTTGCAATGAGCTGAGATTGTGCCAGTGCACTCCAGCCTTGGTGACAGAGCAAGACTCTGTCTCAAAAAAAAAAAAAAAAAAAAAAAAGAAGAAGAAGAAAATTCTTACCAGATAATCTCTACACAGCTGGGAGGTGAAAGGAGCATCGTAAAAACAGGCCCTCATCAAGCAGAAGCTCGGCGCCCCAAGTGTTGTAAGGCCCTGTTTGAAAGGGAGTCCATTTCTGGTCAAGCCTGGGGAGCCCAGACCCCAAGCAGGACCTTGTGGGGTTCCTGGAAACCCCCAACAGGACCCCACCCCACCCCAGGAAGAGCCTTGGAGAAACCACACTAACGGGACTAAGAAACCAAATTAATTGTATTCAACTGTCCCCTGAAGGATCTGGAAGAAGCTGATTTTGAATGCGATTGGTAAAATGTAATCTGCAAATGTGGAATTTGTAGCAAGTTATGAAAGTCTTTTAAAATGAGGAAGGGTCTTTTTGGTAGGAGATGGCTTAAAAAAATAAGATTTAAAAAAAAATTTTAACGAAGACGGTGCCACCTTAATGGCTACTGTAAGAGTTCCTGATCAGCTTGAGGAGCTGGAGAGAATGGCTTTTGGGGTGGGGACACTCAAGGAGCAGAAAAGTGCTCCAAACGGCAGGGTTTCCTCACAGTGCTTGACTGCTCTCTGGACTTCAGGGAGTTGTGAACCTCCTACAAGTGTGTGGAAATCATGCATACGTAGAAATCATGCATTTTTCAGGGGTAAGGAGTCACACTGGGGTAAAAGAGAAAGACCAGGCATTGCTGACTGAGTTCTGTCGCAGCCTGGGTGGAACTATTCGTAAGATGATGCCACCTCCATGACCAGAAACTGACCTTCTTGGGATGATTTTTCCCAACATGTCTTAAATTTCCAACTTTATTTCTTCCA